TTTTCTTTCCCTGATACACCTTACCAGCCTGACTTCCCACACACATCCAGAATCTCACCCCTACCCGTACCCTTTGTTCTCAGCCCTCCCCGTACCCTTTGTCCACAGATGGGATCTTTCATCCAGATTTTTGCAGGAGCGTAACTGGCTCTCTGTTTCCAACCTGGTCTCTTTACGGTGCATTTATCACACAACAGACTGAATGAGTCCTTACAACGTGGTACCAGTCCAGTTCAAAATCCTCTAGGTCTCCCCCGGTTTCCTTAAAATGTGGAAGTCACCATCTTTGCAATAGCCTGCAAAGCCTTTGATGCTTATGAAATGGTATTTCTCTGCATTTCATTGTGTAAAGGATTATAGATGGATAATAAATACTGAATACTCATAAACGTACACATAAAAGTGTAAAAGTGTTATGATGGCTCAGCTTGGCATTTTTTTGCCTTTATGATGGTGCAGAACTCAGCAGGTTCAATGGATTTGATGCATTTCCAACATAGGATGAATTTATTGGGAAGTAAATTGAGGAGAGTCTGTGTTTATATTTGTAGTTATTTTTCTAGAATTTATTGTATGGTCTCTTTCCAAATGAAGAGTTAATGTTCCCCATACCATTCATTGATTAGATTAGTCTTTCCCACTGAGCTGATGGTCTGTCATGAACCTCTAAGTTTCTTGCTATGTAGTAGGTGTCTGACTGTTGCATTTTAGAATAAAGATCTACTGGGGATGGCACTGTGGTGTTGTGGATAAAGCTTCCACCTGCAATGCTGGCACCCTATATGGGTGCTGGTTGAGGACCTGGCTGCTTCACTTCTGATGCAGCTCCCTACTAATGCGCTTGGGAAAGCAGCAGAAGATGGCCCAAGCCACATGGGAGATCTGAAAGAAGCTCCTGGCTCCTGGCTTTAGCCTGGCCCAGCCCTGGCATTTGCAGTCATTTGGGTAGTGAACCAGTTGGATGGAAGATATCTCTCTGGCTCTTCCTCTTTCTGTGTAACTCTAACTTTCAAATAAATGAATAAATCTTTAAAAAGAAGAATAAAGATCTACCTAATAGAACAGATGGATTGGTTAAGATACAATTGTTTGTGTAGGGATTTTTTTGATTTGGAATATTCAAATACATGTAAAAAACTTTGAATTATAATTGGTAATTAATGATGGGGAACATATACTTAAATCCCTTTATTTGATAAATTAGGAACTAATTCTACTTAGGAGGCTGTGCATTGAGTTTAAAAATTCAGGTAGCTACAAAACCCAGACTAAAATGCAGAATCTCAGGGCTCCTAGGCCCCAGTTTTCTGGCTCCTTTTTGAATACTATGCTTTCTGCCTGTTAGTGTTCAGAAAATTATCACCAAAATGCCTGTCAAATTTGAAAACACTCTAGGGATATCATCTGGAGTGAAATCCTTGCTTACATAGCCAAGTTTCACGTATTCAGACGTGTGAGGGTATTGCAACAAGTTCATGAAAAAAGTGAAATTAAAAGATAAGTTTATTTTGGTACAAAAATGTGACATCCTTGCATAGTTTTTTATGATATGCATTTTCCGTGAACTTGTTGAAATACCCTCATATCTGAATATTGTCAGTCTTGGGCATGCATTTCTCTTTTCTGGATCTCTGACCTTATCTCTGTTTATGATAACTTCAGCTGACAAACAGAATGGGTAGACAACGGGACTACACTCAAGCTAGTGTGCTTTGTTGGTTATTAGCAGCATTGCTGAAGGATTTGTTGAAAGAGGAAGCATTGAAATTCTTGCCTGAATGGAGCTGTGTAAATTTTTCAGTGGTTTTCTTTTGATACAAGCTGTCTCATAGCTGTTGCAGTATGTGTAATTGAGGGTCGGTTATAAGTCACACAATGAATCACTTCCAACCCCTTCACATTGGCGGAGGTAGGGAAGAATGGAAAATAGCGTCCCTTCCAGGAGTCCTGGTGAACAGTGTCAGCCTTGACAGCCAGTGAAGGGCCTTGAGGTAACGGTGCCGCCATTCTGCCCCTCCCACTTAGAGTTTGCTCCATGACAGGTGACAAAAATCGAATCCAGAAACACATTTCTTTCTTTCTTTTTTTTTATAGCAGAGAAAGAGAGAGTACTCTGAGGAAATGTTATGCTACTGAGGAACTTTTTGAACAAAACCACATGACAGTACATTAAATGATTTTCTCTCCATCAGGAGGTAGTGAGCACGAGTGATTTACCCCAGGGTCTAGGAAAGTACATATTACCTTGCTGTGTGGCTTGAAGAAGAAGTGCTATCCACCTCCCTGGGCAGCAGGTTCATGTGCAGACATTTGAATTTGATAGCAAAAATTCCTCCTAATTCTAAAATCTCAATATAGAAAGTTGGTCAAGAATGAAGAGTACGGCAGTGAAAAATTTTTGGTAAAGAAGAAAGATTGATGCACTGGGCTTGAAACAACAACCTCCTCCTCCTCCTCCTCCCCTCCCCCTCCCTCCTTCCCCCTCTTCCTCCCTCCCTCTTTCCCTCTCTAATTTCTGTTTTTACCAAGCTGGTAAGCTTGAGACAATGTGGCAGACTTTGAACTTCCTGGCTTCTGTTGATTTGTATCAATATTGTACTGTTACTCGTTTGAGTGGGAGCTGAGTTCCATTTCATGAAAACGCCTCAAGAAGCTAATCAAATCCTTGCAACCTCACTTTCTGTGGATATCGATAGCATCGACAAAGTGAAAAAGACTACTATTTTTAGGCAGCCGCTCTTCCAGCTTGACTACAAATCTAAATGTGTTAAAAACTCCACTCACTTGTTGCAACATTAATCCAGACACACTTTCTCCTCTTGGGAAGTTGTACATGTCCATCCACATGGATTGAACCACAGGTGGACACAACCCTTCCCAGGTCCATTTCCAAAATGTGGACCATTCCATGAAGTTGTAGCTTGGGCAGACTTTCAAGGAATTAGTTATCCTGACAGTAACCCGGGAGGCACACAGCTGGATCCTCCCTCTTACAACTGGGTCACTTGATGAAGTCTGGTGACAGCCCAAGACCTTGGGAGATTTATGGAGTTTAGAGTTACAAGTTTGATGCGGCCACCATTCTCCGAGAACTGGGTGACAATCTTCCAGTGAGCTTTCCAAGTAGTAGTAGTTGGGGTAGATCTCATAAAAGGATGTGGATGGCTTTTGAAGACACGTTTCCTGGCTCTCAAATGGCCATTGTCCGAAAACAGACCCTGGGGTGCATTTGACTGAGTTTCAGAAGAAGCGGAGCAACAGCCTGTGACAAGGGAGCCTTAAACGCTCCCAGGGCAGAAAAGGACTTTTCAGAGTCTCTCAGGGCCCCTGATGTGTGGGTTTTATCAGCTGCTCTGAGTGGGGGCAAAGAGGCATGCATATTTCAACCACGCCTCTCATATTCAGTGTGCAGGGTAACTTCTGCTTCTCGGCTTGGGCAGAGAGGGTTTTTATGAGGTTTGATCAAGAGGAACACAAGGGAAACCCAATTACCTATTTGAAGTGCGCAGTGGAAATTTCCTCTCCTGTACTTGACAAAACTTTTTGTTTGAACCCTAATGGCCCCTTTTTTTTTTAAAAAAAAAAATTTAATATAAGGAGTCTGCAAAAGGAAAATTCATATTCAGAAAACATGCATGAGATTCAAAATATTTTTGCACCAATTTTAACTTTTTTTAAATTCCATTTTCCAAGATTTTTTGAAGTACATTTTGTTAACTTCTTTCAATCTGAGTCTTTAAGGGGCAGAAATAGGAGACTTTTTGATGCTTTTTTTAAAATGCAGAGTCAGGGATTGGGGAGAGAGAGAGAGAAAGAGAGAGAGAGATCTTCTATCTGCTGGTTCACTTACCAAATGGCTGCAACATCAGGGCTGGGCCAGACCTAAGCCAGGCACCTAGAACTCCATCCAGGTGTCCTAGGTGGATGGCAGGAGCCCAAGCACATGGACCAACTGCTGCTGCCTTCCCGGGTTTATGATCAGGGAGCTGGATTAGAAGTGGAATAGCTGGGGCGTAACCAGCACTCGTATGGCATGTGGGTGTTGCAGGCATCAGCTTAAACCACTGCTCCACAATGCCAGCCCTTCTTGCTTCTTTTAAAACATTCTATTTCTTTATTAATTTAATTTGAAAGGGAGACAGACAGAAGCAGACAGGGAGCCAGGAACTCAATCTGACTCTCCTATGTGAATGGCTGGTACCCAAGTTCTTGAATGCACATCAGCAGGAAAGCAGAGTGAAGACTAGAACTCAGGCATCCTGATATGGGACGCGTAACTGCTGTACCAAATGCCTGCCCCTTAATTTTCATTTGAAACGACACTTTTTCCGCTTTCTTCGACACCTACACACCAGAATCGTTAAACATCTAAATGTTTGAAATCCTATCCCTTGAGATGCTTGTATCCCACATTGCAGTGCCCCGGATCCAGTCCTAGCTCTGCTGTGACTCCAGCTTCCTGCTAATGCACACCCTGGAAGGCAGCAGTGATGGCTCAGATGGTTGGGTGCTTGCTTCCCTCCTGGGAAACCCAGGTTGAGTTCTCAGCCTCTGGCTTTGGTCCCAGGCAGGGGCCCTTCTGAGCCTTTGTGGGAGTGAATCAGCTGATGGGAGTATTTTTTTCTCTCTCTGTCTCTCAAATAAATTCAATCAGTCCATAAAATTTCAAAATCAAAAAGGGATTTCTAATTTAAAAAAGAAGATACATTTTTCTTTATTCTTTTGATTGGCACACTGAAAGTTTTGTAAGCACGCTCCCAGTAGTATGTTGCATGCTGCCTCGTTTTTTTTCTTCCTTCCTCCCACACTCCCTCCTCCAGCATTTTAGGGCACCTTATATAGATAGGGTGGGTGATAGCTTCATTCTCTTAATTAGCATGCTTGTCTGAGGTTGTAAGATACCTATTTGAGAAAGGCCAGGGATTTCCCCCTGAATATCCACTAACTGCTTGAAGTGGTGTTTTCATTCTGACTTGGTGTTTTGTTTTGTTTGACTGTAGCATCCTGGGGCATCATGTGAGAGTCTGCTCTGAGGCCTCCCTAAATTGTGCTGCCACACACCAGGAGCGAGAGGGCAAGAGTGGGCTGCGACGAGGGGCTTGCACCACAGCTCGTGTTTGGTAAGTTGTCGGAGGGCTTGGCTTTAGATTTCATCTGGCAGTGTTGATTGGGTGTACCAGGGTCTTGTTCAAGTGTGCAGCTATTTCTCCGCAACCCACGCACCAGGACATTTGAGAAAATGTTGTTCTAGTGACAGCCGAAAGAGCAACCAGATTGACTTTGGGTGTTTGTTTCTGAAATTTGCAGAAGAGTAGGATCTCAGTAGTATGCATTTGTGGTTGGCCAGACCCAGAAAGACAAATATCGCATGTTTTCTCTTATGTGTGGAAGTTAATGTCTAGTGAGCATAAAAACTGTGTCGCTGTCTTATCATTTGGCATGTAGGTAGAAATATTACTCCCTGAAGGATACCATCAGTGTGACAATATACCCTTCTCTCCCCAAGTTATGATCCTGATCACAAATCCCTCATTTTGTGGTATTAATATCTTTGTTTTCAAAGAAAATAGCATTTATGAGAAGGTGTATAGTATCTACATATGAAGTGAATGTGCTAAAAATGTTTTTAAAAATCTGGAAGAAAAAGACCAAACATACACACACACACACACACACACACGCACGCAAAACTCCAAATAACTAAACACACAAACAAGGTGTATGTAGGTATTTTGCATCAAAATACACTTATTTGTTAACCACAGTTTCCATGAGCAATTTGAACAATGCTTGTGTCTTCCAAATATTCAATTTTAGCTGAAAATATAAGGGGTTACTCACACAAGAGGAAACAGATTCAATCTGATGGCCAGTTTGTTACCCTGGGATCAGGTATCAGGATGGGTCAGATGAGAGGCATGTAGTGTTACCATGTTGTCCTACTCAACAAATTCGTATTGAGCTCCTTTGTTTAAAATTGAGAAGCTCTACAGTAGTGTAGTCCCCGTGTACACAGGGTACTGATTACTCCATGGTGTTGTTCAGCATTTTCACCCTCCCTTTTCTAACTCTTCCCCGCTAGTTCTTTATAAAATACAGAATAAATTATATAAAATTATATAAATACTGTAATAAGTTGTAGTTACTTTGCTGAATGGTTAAAAAAAAACTAGAATTACTCTTCCTGCCTAAATCTCTATAGAATAGCTTTTCAACACACTTTTCAATACGATGCACTCAGTACCGTGAGTAACACTCTTGGCCCAGAGATTGAAATTCAAATGCTCCAAACTATGAACAAATGGTAAAAAGTTTGTAAGTTCTACTCCAGACTAATTTGGAGCTACCAGGACACTTTATCAGCCTAGCTCCTTCATGGCGTTTCCTGGAAACAGGGTCTCCAGTGGAAGCCCAGTTTGGCTTTGCCTATCTTGGTGGTCTCAGGGACCTCAGCGAACACCTTAGGGGGACTCACCTGTAAAAATGTGAGTGTGTGCCTCCGTGGTTTCCAAGGTCTCTTTCCAATTCAAAACTCAGTGCCTTCTAGTGAAAGTCATTAATGTATTATGTGCCCCTGACAAATCACCATTTGTAGAAGGGCTCACCTGACAGGGCAGTGTAGAGCAAAGTAGCCACGCCCCTGGGGCTACCTTCTCTGTACTGGCATCCATCTTTAGAGTCAACAGAGATAGTAGATAAATAGCAATTTGTTCCCCTGCACTGTTGAAGGAGATGTGTCTTGTGAACATTACATTTAGATAACTGAGGCAGGCTTTTTTTTAAAAAAAAAAAAGATTTATTTATTCATTTATTTATTTATTTGAAAGGCAGAGTTACAGGGAGAGGTATTTTCCATGTCTGCTGGTTCGCCTCCCAAATGGCTGCAGTGGCTGGGCTGGGCCAAGCTGAAGCCAGGAGTCTGGAACTCCATCTGGGTCTCCCACGATGATGACAGGCACCCAAGTACTTAGGACATCTTCCTCTGCTTTCCCAGGTGCATTAGCAGGGCGGGAGCTGTATCGGAAGTGGAGCAGCTGGGACTCGAACCTGCGCTCATAGGGTTGCCGGCATCGCAGGCCTCGGCTTAACCCGCTGTGCCACAATGCTAGCTGAGATAGGCTTCTTTTGGATTATTGTCCTTTATTTTTCTGGAAGGGGACCTAAACTTTTCTTCTCTTTGCGCTTGTCTCTGTGTAACTGGTTATCTGTCAGCCCTTTAACCCAGGAAGCCCCAAGCTTGATTTAACATAGAAATGAATGTATTGTTTCTCTTTCTTACTAAACATCCCCATTTTGCAGAGCTGTGAATGACACTTGGAGTGATGCTCAGATGTCACTCTCGTTAGCAGCTGGTGGGCTGCCTCAGAGTGGTGCATTACTTGAGTTTCATAATAGCATTTTTTTTTCCTCTAACAAATGTTAAATTATGAAGCGCAGGAAACCACATGAATGCGGCAGAGTGAAAATGCAAACGCAGTGTTATCTGGAAATGTCAGTTTTAGATCCTCTTGGTGACAGGGTCCTTGCTGTAACCAACACGGAACCTTCTTCACCAGATCGGGGATGCTCTTCCCAGCCCTGGTCTTCCTCTGCCTTCATGCTGGGTGCCAGGGCCACCTGGGGGCCCAGGTGTGATGATGCTTAGGACTGCCCCTCCCCCCCAGTCCTGCCTGGCTCTCATTCACAGATCTTCCCTGAGTCCTGGGGACTTTATTAACTGCTCTCTCTTTAGGAACTCCCACAACACTGGGCGTCTGCATCAGACAGAGTGTGTTGCTCTGCCTTGCTTTGGGGGTGCTTGCCATCACTCTTTCTTGGTTGCCAACTGCTTTGAGAATGGGCTTATGGACCAGTGTTTCTCAGCGACGCTCTCTTCCCAGGACCTCCTGCCTCCAAATCACTTGGCTGTGGTCCTTAAAGCTGCAGACTCAGCAACGCTAGCCTTGATGAATCAGAATGTCTGAGGGTGGGGAGCCCAGGAAATGCACCCTGGGTGACTCTTGCACACTGAGTTTCGGGAACAAAGGTCTGAGACGACATCAGTGTCCTCTTTGCCTCCCCATGCACAACAAAGGGTCCTGCACTGAGCACCTAGTAGGTACCCAGGAAATATTCGCCTGTTGAGCTGAGCAGCCTCAAACCATGAAAACTGCATTCATTCTTCAAATGCCCAGCCTTTTCAGAGGTGAGAGCAGCATTTCAATGCACTAAGATGTTCCCCTACATTACAGGCTCTTTGGGAGACATTGTGTTTATGTCTCTCTCCTCAACCACAGACTCTGTACCCAGTAATGACAGTGGCCCCTGAGTAGGTCTGGTATCAGCTACAGGGAGCTGGAGCAGAGCACCAGGCTGGGAGAAAGATCTAAGGCTGAGAACAGAGCTGTGGTGATCTAGGAGGCTCAGCCGTGGCTCCCAGAGCCGCACCTGCTGCCCTCCGCAGTTGATTCTGAGTGGTGCTGCTTCCAGCTGTTAGGACTCACAGCTTGTCAGTCCTGGTGGCAAAAGAGCAGTCTGCCTGCTGCAAAGACTAAAGATGGGGGCTGGCATTGTGGCACAACAGGTGAAGTCACTGCCTGCAACACCAGCTTCCCATAGGAATGCTGGTTTGAGTCCCAGCTGCTCCACTTCTTATCCAGCTCCCTGGGAAAGCAGGGGAAGATGGCCCAAGTGCCTGGGCCCATGTGCTTGGACCCCTGCCAGTCACCTGTCTCCTGGCTTCAGCCTGGCCCAGCTTCCACCCTTGCAGCCACTGGGGGAGTGAACTAGCTGATGGAAGATCTCTTCTCTCTCTCCCTCTCTCTCTGTAACTCTGCCTTTCAGATAAATAATAAAGAAAGGAATAAATCTTTGTAAAAAAAAAAAGACACAAAGGTAAAGTTAAGCTGTGGAGTATGCATGTCAGAGTGCCTGCAGTGGCAGTGGCAGTGGCAGTGGATTTGCGCTCAGACCGTGATGGTCGTGCTTGGCCCCTCCCTTCTTCTTCCTCTTGATCCCACAAGGGCACTCCTGGCCTTGGCTGCTGCAGGAGAGATTTGCAGAGTCCTGCGCTTCTAGAAGGTGCAAGTCCTGGGTGCCTTTGCTGGTAGTTCCAGCCCTGGGGACGGATCTGACAGTTCAAGTCAGAAACCAAGCAGAAGAGCCAAACGGAGCCTTCACCAGCCTGTGGAGGAACCAGTGGGGGCAGCAGGACACTTGGGAGCTACTCGAGTAACCGCTTTTTCATGCCTATATATAGGAAACAGAGTCTCCTCCTCTCGCTCACAACACAGGACTCTGCTGTGACCAGATGTGGGGGCGTTGTCCCCTGCACAAGCCAGTAATTGGTTCTGCAGCCCGACCAGCAGAGTCCCTCTCAGGGAATTCAGTTCTGATACTGTCTCCCTGGGAACAGCATCAGCTCCCACATACTGGAGGCTCATTCCCTAAGACTGCCTCTCCCAAGGCTGGCGCTGTGACATAGCGGGCAAAGCCACCATCTGGGATGCCAGCATCCCATACGGGTGCCGGTTTGAGTCCCGGCTGCTCCACTTTCTATCCCACTCCCTGCTAAATGGCCTAGGAAAGGCAGCTGAAGATGGTCCAAGTGCTTGGGCTCTTGCCATCCATGTAGGAGACCCGGAAGAAGCTCCTGGCTCCTGGCTTTGGCTTCAGCTCTAGACATTGGGGCCATCTGGGGACTTGTACCACAGAGCTAAGATCTCTGTGTCTCTCTCTCCTTCCCTCTCTGTAACTCTGGCTTTCAAATAAATAAAGTACATTTAAAAAAAGAAGACTGTCCCTCCCCCTTGTTTCACCTGTGCTCTTGACCAGCCGCCTACAAATTGGGGTTCCTATGACCTTCCCCTCAGCTCCTGTTAATTTGCTAGATTGGCTCACAGAACTCAGGGAACCAGTTTGTTGTTAAGGGTATTTCAGACAATACACGTGAAAAGTTGCATAGGGCAAGACATGGGAGAGAGACAGGGCCCCACCTTCCAACACCTCCATCTGTCCAGCTGTTCAGTCCTTTGGGATTTTTATGGAGGCTTCATTATGTAGGTGTAATTAATTAACTTAATGGGCCGTTGGTAGTCTCTCCTGCCTGGATGTTAGGGGTTGGAGCTGAGAGTGCCTACCC